CCTCAGTGTGTTTCTTCTGAGTTTATGTGTGCTGTTACGCTCATTTGTTCTGAAGTCTCTCAAAAAGAGACAAACAGAGTGAGCCTCAGCGCGACCTTGTATTCTGCTAACTTACTGCAATTCTCTCTGATGACGCAGTAACTCACCGCGGGGAAGAAAAAATCTTCGGTATGTCCAATGATTGTAAAGTCATTAGGTCCGTCAGACTGAAGATACTTTTGCGGTAATGTGACCAAAAATATTTAAGACCCATCGAATCCGAATTTAAGACATTTTAAGACTTTTAAGGCCTTATATTAGGAAAACGTTATTTAAGACATTTTAAGACTTTTTAAGGACCCGCGGACACCCTCCCTTGTTCTAGGTTCTTCTCTGCCTCACCCTGAGAATCCCTTGTTCTCTTTTACCACTTAAGTGTACGCATTGCAGAAGTGATTTCTTATTACAATAACATTCTCTTTTTCTTGCAGTGTGCCTTCACCTAATTCAGTTGTTGATAGTTTCACTCACAGTCTAAAAACTTCCCAGCCTAAACATCCTTTGACTGTAATGTATATCACTCTGATCTCACACTGATCTGATGCTTACAAGGCAGCAGTCAAGACAGTGAAAGGTCACAGTGAGTGAAACTAAAAACTGAAAGCATGCTGACCCCACATTCATGCTAAAACACATGCATATCTTATTATGAATGATCAGTAGCCTAGCCATAACATGAAAATACCATAGTGGCTTTAAATGCATGCCCACACATAACCAGTGTTGGGGGTAACGCGTTACAAGTAACGTGCGTTACGTAATAATATTACTTTTCCTATTTACTTTAAATCACGTTGCACTGCTGGACTCTATTTTTGCCCTGCAGAGTTAGACATGCAAGGGATGACCTAAAAGAGTGTATCTGTTATGTAAAATGTTTCTAAGCGATTTAAGGTGACATAGATGTCAAATCCCATAATTACAAAGAAACCTAAAGAGACACAATGAAAGTCTTATAGAGACTGAATATGAATTGTATTATTGTTTTTCGTTCAGTGCATTTTGCAACTCCTTTCTGTTGTAAAAAAAAAAGTTAATTGCAGTGTCCATCCAACCCCTTGTAATTTTAAGAAATCTGAATATATCAAATGTGATAACACGTACTAGTATTTCTCACAATGCCACAGCACCCTCTATAGGTCTTAAAGGTATTTGCATCACTGAAATGAAATATTTTAATTTTATAAAAAGTATTTTTCACACATTAAATAAAGGGATTTAATAATTTAAAACAATTGTTTATTTCTGCATTTCTTCTTTCTTTCTTCCTCTTCTCAAATATCATGGCAATAGATTTGCCTTGAAGTAATGGGACATACTGTACATAAAAAGATGAATAAATGAACATTGTTTAAAATATCAGTCCTGAGAATGGGAATATTATTGATCAGTAACTTCAATAGTTGCAATATGTTTTGCAGTACCTCACCCCTGTGTTTTATTCGATGTTTAAGGTCAGCAGAAACCCACAGGATATGTTTAATTTCCTCTGCATTAAAATCCTTCAGTGTTAGAAAGCTGCGACCCTTCAGGTTAACACTGTCCAGAGCTGCTTTTCCCACTCTGTAGACATAAAATACACATGATACTGTTGGAAAATTACTTGAGCATAAAAAAAAAAACTCAAATACCCTTTATAAAAAATAGTCAATAAAATAAAATTTTAAACAACATTTTTAAATTCGTATAAAAGCAGATTTTATGACTTCATAAATTAAAGGAATGGTGTATTTATATATTCAAAAATATTTTCCAAGCACAAAGATTATTTAAAATGGTTAAAAAGAAATTAGTCTAAAGAATACACGTTATGTTAAAAAGGCCATGTTATTAGCCAAATACTCTTTTATTAATTCAAATGTATCCTTGAAGTCTTTTTTCTTCAATTTTTTATGCTTAACTGATCAGCTTGTAACTTTCATTACATCCATGACTATTTAATTAATCCATTATCTGTTAAGCATAATGCAATGTAATAATTAATATTATCAATGAAAATTATTATACAATGTCACTCAAAATTTTAGACAGCAGCAAAATTTCCGACTCACCTAAAATTCCTGCTTTGGCAACATTTTGCAAATTTCAGACTAAAATATATTCTGTTTTTGAAAGCAAACATTTTACTGACATAAGTAGGCCTATGCATACAGAGCTCAAAGTGGCACAGCCAAATCAAATCATTTCCACGCGCTCCCTGCCATGCAGCATTGGGGGCGTGGCTAACGGGACGAAAAGGGGGCGGGACAAGTAACTGTGTGTGATGAGTGACAGCTCTCGTGCACGTACTCTTTTATCCCAGCCGCTTCCACAGTCCCTGCCATCGTGTGAAAAACCCCCCCGCTCTCTCTCTCTCTCTCTCTCTCTCTCTCTCTACACCTTCGTTAAAATATTCCATTAATATAATATGTTTCTTTTCTTCATTAATCAAATAACTGTAAAGTTACAACAAAGAGCAAACCCTGATTAGGTTTTTCCTTCTTTTTTCGGTTGCCAGGGTAACGTTTACTTCCGGTTCATCTGTAACTCTTCAGCAGGGAACAGCTGACAGTTCAGGAATGTCATCTGCAGAACAGAGGTGTAGGAGGTGATGACAGGAGAAACAGACACAGAAATACCAGGTAAACTGCGCCTTTATAGTGTCTATCTATCTATCTATCTATCTATCTGTCTGTCTGTCTGTCTAGTTATCTGTCTATGTAAGTATGTGTATTTTACAAGCATGTGCTTGTAAGACTCACAGTATGTGACACCATAATCATGTCTTTGAGCTCCTTGAGCATTACCCACACAGGCTATTCTGGGAAGCTGGAAGCTTTCTAAGGATTTAAACGGACCATCTTGCTGAGCGTGTGGAGGTTTGCTCTTTGCTCCATGTGAACAACTGTTACTGAGGGCATATGTTGTCCTGAACTTATATGTTTCCTTATTGCAGAAACAGGTGCTGTATTCACCTTTGGAAAGAGTAAAATAGCAAACAATGTACCCAGCAGGTTATGGCTAAAGAATGATATACCTGTGCACATCTCATGTGGACAGTCACACTCTGCCTTTGTAACAGGTTGTAATCTCTCTATATTCACCTTGTAATTTTGTAACTGTAGCTATATTTTGTAATAAAAGTCTCTTTAATTATCTCTTTTCAGAGCAGGGCCGTTTGTTTGTGTTTGGAAATAATAACAGAGGTCAGCTTGGTCTTCAAACCAAAGGACCGGTGAATAAACCAACCTGTGTTAAAGGTGAGACATAGACATGCATGCGTGCTGTTTTATAAAGATCACACTCGGTTTTCTTATTCATCTTTTTATTTGTCTACCCAGTTCTTAAAGGGGAGAGAGCTCAGTTTGTTGCCTGTGGGACTGATCACACACTCGTAAGCACCTGTATGTAAAGCTGGAGTACAAAACTTTTGTAACATTATAAATGTATTTACTGTTACTTTTAATCAATTTAATGAGTGCTTGCTGAATAAAATGATTAATCTCTAAAATAAAAAAGTCTTACTGACCCCTATCTTTTGAATAATAGCAGTTTATCACAGAATTGTGAGTAAGATGAAGTAGGTAAGTGAATATATCTGTGGGGTTTCTCCAGCACAAGGGGAAATTTTTGCAGCTGGAGGAAACAGTGATGGACAACTGGGATTGGGCCACTGTAATGACAGCGTTTCTTTCCGGCGGCTCCACCCCTTTTGTGACTATGCTCCAATCAAATTGCTCTCTGCAGGTGGCCACACCTCTGCTGCACTTACAGGTAACAATGATATGCAACTGATTCTTTTCTATACTAGATATAAACCTACTATTGTAAATACAAATGCACTGATAATTGATATGGATTTAAATAATAAATCTGTAATTTTTTTAGAGGATGGCAGGCTGTTTCTGTGGGGTGATAACTCTGTTGGTCAGCTTGGTTTGGTGAATGACAGTCACATGAGGGTCACATTAAAACTGGCTTGGAAACTTATTTCTATGCCATTTATGAATATATTTTATTCTTTTATCCTTTTCCTGACCCAGATTTTCAATCTTAAAATAAGAAAAATCCATCATAAAAATAAATTATTATAAAGTTATATTGTAAAATATTCATCATTTTAAAAGTATGATCATCTAAAGAGTGAAATAACATAAATTTAATATTTTATTGTGTGAAATAATGTGTATATTAAAGTTAAAATATATAATATATAGATATAAAGTTGAAAATAAAGTTATTTTCATATAGTTCGTGTACTACTTTACCAAGGAGCATGATGAAATATGAGACATGTGATGGGTAATGAAAACAAAGAAAAGGTAAATACAGAACACTTGTATGTGTTATTTCAAGTCAAGCTGTATATTTAAATTATTAAATTAAATGTGCAAAAGTATGAAAATATTATATAATTGTATGTGACATTCTGAATAGAAAATAAACTAATGAGAGTGTGAAAATATGTTTTGTGTGTGTGTGCGTTTCAGGAGAGCTCATCTGCACAGTTTGGCCCAGAATTTTGCAATCTTCCTCCTCCTACAACTGGCTTTACTGCACTAGCCCTGACAGACAACATCTTACAACCCAGATCTCCGACAGACACTCCTAAACGCTTCAGAACTGAAGCCTTTGTGGAATCTGCTTCTACCTCAATCACACTGCCTGCCAGGACAACGCCACGTAAATATTTTCTTATTTTCCAATTTTGTATGTTCTCCCAAGACCTCTCTTTATCCATTTATTAGCTATCCATGATTCATATATCGCTTACCGCAATTATGTATTCACTAAATATAGCTGTAAATGACCCAAAACACCAGTAAAAAACATGGTTGTCAGTAATGACCAGCTGTCTTTCTTGTGAATACAGTCACACAGATCACAAAGAATGAAGAGGACTGCCATAGTGTTGGAACATCTGAAAACAGCATATCGGACAAGGTGCACAAAAGCTGTGTCACTGTGCTCAAGATGACAAAATTAATTTTTGAAAAACTATTTATAATATGTATAATTGAGTTTAATGTATATTGTATAATTAAAGGGTGTAATGTTTGATTTGACAGACACATGAAGAGAAGCATTCTGGGATGGTGGAGAATATACCTCAACAGGCTCCACCCACCAACGTACAGGCTAGTTCTGTTTCTCATTCATCAGTGACAGAATCTCCACCATCAAGCAACCTAAAAAACAAGAAGCCCAGGTCCGGAGATCCAAAGAACCCTGCCATGGTGGAGGAACATTCTTCTGTTACAGCATCACGAAGCAAAATGCAATCCGAAACATACAAGAAAACTATCCAGAGTACAAATAATAAATCTAAAAGTCGAGCAGTAGAGGTCAGATTATTTTCAGATAGAATGTCAGATAAGGAAAAGGAGGGAAGCAGTGAAACATGCAGTACTAATATTGATCCAAGGGACGACATTTCAAAAGCAGACAAATATAGTAAAGTTCAACACGTATATTCCAGAGGTCAAGAGGTCACTGCTCTTGCTGAGATGGAGAGGAAGACCAAATCAAGGCCAACTGAAATTCAAAAGACTTTCTCCAGAAGTTCTCCAGTTCAGGAAGTTGAACAAGTTAGAACAATGCCCACAAAAGTTCAAGAGGTGCAATCTCCCAAAATCAAAGAGATGGGTATTCCAGTAGGAACTACAAAAAGGGTCAAGTCGCCAGTCAAGTTTCAAAACGTGCCCTCCGGTGCCATAGAGGTTAGCAAAGTTGAATCAACACCTCAGGCAGATGCTCAAAGAGGCATCAAGCCATCTCTTGGAAATGTTCAAGAGGTCAGATCAACACACAAGAACAGGGAAACTCAACACCAGTCAAGATTCCAGCTAAAATGCAAAGCACCCCAAAAAAAGGAAAAGAAAAGAATGATGTTGACACAGAAGAAAGCCCAAGTGAACTTACACCAAAGAAAGTGAAAAAGAAGAGATCAGATGTGGAAAGAGCCCCGATGTCAGAAACAGCACCCAAAACACCCAGTCCTCTATCAGTTTCTATACCCACACGAATATCTAAAGCAAAAAAGGGAAAACCTGTGGAGTCTAAGAACTCAAACTTCCAGCTTAAACATGCAATGCCAGCACAAGAAAAAATAGAAATCAAAAGGGAAAATGATAGTAAAATACCTCAGAACTCTGATATATCATTTCCCTCAATAAAGAACCAAAAATCAGGAGGAACTGCAGAAAAAAGCCAATCAGCTTCCAACTTGCACTCGCCCACTGATAAAGTGCTTACTGAACAGAAGCATGAATTTCCATCTATTAAAAGCTTAGCTCCAGAAAGAGACCACTCATTTTCCAGTTTATGGTCCAAAAACCAATCAGCAACCAATAAATCTTCTGCCACCAAAGAAACCGAATCATCATCTGGTAAATTATTAAGTCCATCAAGTTCATCACCACAACACAAGCAGTCACCACTAAAAGAAAATAAATTTGCCAGAAAAACAGTTGAACCTAAAGAGCCAGACAGGAAGCCACAGGCTGAGCAGAGCATTATGGGTAGTGTAGTTTCATCACTACCAGCCATGGCTATAGCAAGTGCTGCACCACTACTGATAAAAGCAGCCGAAGTTCTTTCTGAAACCCAACCAGAACCAAGTATTGAGATGTCCTCACATGCATCAATGTCCAAGGAAACATCAGGAAGCAATATCCTGCTAGAACAGGAAGTGGACCAGGACAGCACAGTTCAGGTTGTATCAGCAATTAAGGAAAGGGATGACAGCATAATCAGACAGCAGAGTGCACAAGATGAACAAAATATGCTAGTTTCAAATGAAAACGAAATGTGGGTGAATGGTGTTGTAAAAATAGAGGAAGAGGAACATGTGAAGTATAGTGAGACAGAGAGAAAGGAAGAGGGAGGTGAAAAAGAGAGACTCGCTGAGGAAGAAGATGAACTTCAGGAGGTTGGGCAGGAAGAGGAGAACAGTGCTGTTGAAGATGAAGAAGAAAGAGAGAGTAAGAATGATGAAGATAGAGGAGAGAGTGCTCAACAGGGAGAGGAGGAAAATGAAGAAGAGGGAAGTGAGGCAGCCAGAGAGGAAGAGGATGACAGCAATAGTGGACAGAGCAGCAAAAGTGAGGGAGAGATGAGTAAAGGGGAAGAAAGTGGAGATGAGACTGAAAGAGAAGAAGGAGAGCAGAGTGAGGGACAAGAGAAAGAGGAGAGTGAGGAAGGAGAAACT